CTAATGCTATTAAAAAAACTATTGATAGCATTTTCAATAAAATGGAGCATATTCCTATAACTGATGCATACAAAAACAAAGCTGTCAGCATTACATCTGATGGAGCTAGCGTCAACTTGGGCATTTATAATGGGGTGTTAACTCAAATGAAAAGCGATAGATCTTGGATCACAAAAGATTCAATGTGTTAACCACCGATTGGAATTGGCAATAAAAAGTACTGTAAAAAAAATTGTTGAGAATAAAGAGTGAGAACGCTTTTATTCAACTTTATTTAATTTACTTTGCAATGAAAAAATTATTAATCTATTTTTAATTTTTTCTATTTAAATTTCTTTCTATTTCCTATTTTGTTAGTTTGGTTTTTTTGTTTTTGAAACTTTTTCCGCAATGATTAATATAAAACTTTACTATTTACTGGTATTTACTGGTAACAATGATGGTAGTATTGTTGAAACTCCTGTATGATTGTATGATTTGCAAGACTCATATTGAGTCCTCATTTTTATGTTTTTTTTGATATTTTTTTCTTCAATACTGACCTCTTATAGAAATCTTATACACAATTTATTGCAAAGTTAGCATCTACTATGCCTCCTTTTTTGTGTGTATTTTAGGCCTCTCTTTATTGTATTCATTATTTTCTCACTCATGATTCCTTTCTATACTTCTATAAATCTCTTCTTTGCCCTTGTATGGAATACTGTTGTCATATTTGGGCTGGTTTTAATGAGGCCCTCTCACTTTTAGACAAGGTCTAAAAATATATTGTAAAGGTTGTTGGACCACCTTTAGCTGCTAAGCTTAAATATCTCTCCCTTCATCATAAGGTTGCATCTCTTTCTCTTTTTTACAAATACAACCATGGTTGCTAATTAAATGATATACCATCACTTATCCCATCAACTAAAACTCAATCTTGGGTGGCTCATCTAATTTCCATTTTTTTACTGTCAATTTACAACTACAATTTTGTAATCAAAATATTCAACAATTTAGGCGTGCTTAGCGTATGTGTTGTAAGATGTAATTTGTGGTGTTATTTTCATATAAACATAGATATTTTTAAAAATAGATTAGTTTAACTTCATTTTTATAGTTATCACTACTAATATTGAACTTTACCTGAAAAACCTCAATTTTAAATCTGATCAACATTGTTAACATAGATTATCCTGGTCATATTTAAAATATGCGGGAAAATTTTTCCTAACAATATCCAGAAAAAATCCGGAAAAATATATTGAAAATATTTCCGGAAAAATCGGAGAATGAAAACACTTTTTGTGTATTTAAGAATATCTCATGTGCAAGAAAATAAAATTTTTGACAGCCATTCTTCTATAAAAAAGAAAAGTATTTTAATACTTACTTAAATATTAATTACTTAATAAAATAAATAAAAAATAATATTTAAACGTTCCAAAATAAAGTATTTATCAACACATTAGCAAAAAAAATTTTAATAAATAATTTTTAACGCAATTTCTTTTTTTCGAAGGTAAGTTCTAAACCTTTGATTCTTTTTAAAAAAAATACTGGTGTAATAAACACTTTTGTAGTTAATAAATGACATCAAACAAAAAAGCTCTTTAAATTACTTTAACTTGAGTTATAAACGTTATGGTTTTCCCTTTTGCAAATAATTTTTTTTATAGATCAATGCTTTTATATATAACCATTTATAAAACATATGATAACTAGGGTTACCAGACTCCTCTTTTTATGAAGGAGTGCACCCTAAATAATTTTTTTGCTCCTAGTTGTCAAAAAGCTCTCCAACGGAAAATAAGGATGTATGGCAACCCCATGATAACTGAATAAAAAAAACAATAAGTAATCTCAATGAGTAAACACTTTAAAAGCCTAACTTATATTTGATTTATTTTTAAGACAAAATTAATATTAGAGCTATAGATATAAGATAAGTAAATTTCAAAAATACGATACAAGATTTACTGATAAAATCTTAAAACCAAAATAACAAATTTTTTTTTTTTAATTTAGATTTAGTAAGAAAAAAGTGTAAATAAATTTGATTTCACAGTAAATGGAAACAAAATATTTTAATGGAAATAAAAATAAAACAAAGTAGAAAAGCGGTATTCTTCGCTTAATTACAATTTTTATTTTGTCAAAAGTCTCCAGTTGAACTAAAATGCAAACATTTTTTCAAGGGGAAAACCCTAATCTAATAGTGAAATTGTTTAAAAATCGTTTAAAAAACTCTATGGCAAGTACATTTATTATTCAAACCAGATATTTTACAACAAAAAATATTAAGTTTATATTAACCTCTCATTAAGAAGTATAATAGCAAAACAATAAATGCTTTTTTGTTAATATCTCAGTAAATAAATTGATTTACATACGTTTTTTAATAGTCAATTTTTACAATATAATACAATGTAAAGCTGAGCAATGACTCCAATTTGTCTTGGTACTTGGGAATCCCTGTAATAATAAATGCATACAAATAAGAACATAATAAAAAAAAGCGATTTAATATTTCAAGGTGCGACTGAACTGTTATAGTTGCATTTTAAACCACATGAATAGGCAGTTGACTTGTTAATAACACTAAATCTCTTTATTTTTTTTTTATTAGTAGAAAAAAAAATTATTTTAACTTTGTCAAACAAAATTAACGTAATAAAAAACATTCGTAAGATGCATGTGAAAAAATATTATTAGAATGCATTTAATAATGCATTCTAATAATATTCTTGAATATTATTAGATAATTCTTAATTTCTTAATTAAATTGATTGATAAACCACCAGCACTATATTTTTTTTTAATAAATGGAAGTTTGTTCTTTAAAATTTCACAACAAACATCTTGATTAATTGCGTTTCCAGATTTTTGAAAATATTTATTTTTTCAAAATTCTGGATTTTATTAATCATAAATTATATAGCAAGCCATACAAGCAACTTTTAGGGATATTTTTCTTTGAAACTGTAATAATTTTTAAAAGTTTATTTAAAGTTTATTTAAAGTTTTTACAATAAAAATATGTTTTTTTTTGGTTTTATTTAAATAAAAAATTCTAGGGATTGAACGCTAAACTTATTTTTAAAAAGTAATCTTAAGTTCTTTTACACAGCGATTTTCATTAAACTTAATGAGCTATTTTGATTTTTTATTAAACTTAAAGCTCTGTGAGAGAAAACTTCTAATCTTTTTTTTTTCATTAGTGAAGTTTACAATTGCATAATTTATGGACAATTTCTCACAATAAAAACATGTTTTAAACATTCAAATTAATTTTCAACTAAATTTAATTGAAGATAAAGAGAGAATAATATAACATTTTTCTTTTTATAAATCATTTCTTCGCGATAATGGCTTTTAACCTTTTTTCTCCGCATAATTAATTCTTTGTTAGATATCAACTTTGTTAGATATACAGATATCGACTACGACAAAAATGACGGTCTTTTAAGTATTTAAAGAAGTATTAAAAGATATTTCTTCACCAATATCTCTTTGTTACTAATGTTACTTAACAATATTTTTTAACAGCTTATAAGGTTTTTCTCTTTATTTTTTTTTCAATAATTAAACCGTTTCTTATTAGTTGTATTTTAGTAGTCTGATTATCATAATGGACAACTCAAGTAAGAAATATATACTATTTCAGTCACCAGCAGGGTGACCAGGAAAAAATCGGAGGGTAAATCTCTGGAATTGTTATTTTGTTATGAAATTTTCATTATTATAATACTAATTTAGGCTCTTTTCAATAATATATATCAAAAAAATATAAAAATAGTTTGAAATTTTTACACACGTACCTAAATATAGCATTTATTTAAACTGAAACTAAAGAAAAAGTATTTAAAATAGATACTCATAAATATTCAATACGTTCAAGCAATTTTTAAATTTTAAAAATATAATTATTTTCTGTTGTAATTATTATTTGAGGCTAAACAGTAGTCATTAAAAGTAAAACTATCATAAAAACTATTGGTATTGATTTTTTGCATCAATTAATTTGACTCTTTTCAACCGTATATAGAATGTAAAAAGTTTTATATGCCTTTACTTATATATTACTCATGTCTTGAGACCACTATTGATTAAAAAACTTGTAGCAGATATGTTTTTTTCAAGCAAAGCTTTTGAAGGTAAGAATTCTTAAGTACTAAAACACATCTAACTTGTATGAAACATTCCATATATATTTAAAAAGGGACAAGGAATCTAATGAAATGTGGACTCTTAACATTTATACATAATTTTTTTAGTTCTCAGTGTTTAAAAACTTCAAGGTTAATTTATATAGAATAAACAGTGTTTTTCAAAAGAGTTCATGTGAAAATGGCAATTATAGCCTTTCCTCAATTTAAATCAAGTATTTATGTTTCCTTGAAGACTTGGTTCTTAGGATTTGTATATAGAAATTATGATATAATGCTTTTTTCCCTTTGTGTATCATTTGTTTTGATTTTTGCTCTAGATTTTTGATGTTTTTTTTATTTTATTTCGATGTTATTACAGCAAATTCTCCATACTTAAGGATGAGGCGTTTTGTCAAAAAATCATTAGTTTTTCCAGCACAAAAAATGCAATAACTTCAGATCCACTTAACTTCTAAAGTTGAAAAAACTCTTTTATTTTTTAAGTTTTCTTTAGCTCTATACAACCATGTTATTCATATATAAAAATATCGACAAAAAAACATCCTGTGGAATGGCTACTATTGGGTGCTTTATACCTAATTTTAAGTACTGTTTGTATTGATCATAAATATGATTATAGAGATTCAGCTAATTATCTTTTAATTAACTAAATATTTAATTAATATTACCTTATCATAGTTTAATTAACTCGTTTTAATTATGCAGGAAAAAAAAATTTATGTCAAAAATGTTTAAAAACTTGCTTAAGACTTTAGTAAAGTTGATTTTATCATTATTCATAAAAACCGTTTTTTTTTTTAACGACATTAAATTGATAATATTTTATTCTTAAAAGCTAATAAAACTTACATTCAATAAAATCTTCTAGATATAACATTGCAAATTAAAAACCTTTACACTTTATATCTTATTGCTAACATTATTTTGATTACATTATAAATAATAATTTAACAATTTAACATAATAACAAATGACAATTTCTGCATTATTGTGATTCTGACTGTGTTGTAACAACGTCAACTTAAAAACCCGATGTTCCGAAAAAAAAAAATGTTCCGAAAAAATCCGTATACTATAAGAATACAACAATACAAGGCCATCAACTAAGTTGTAAAGTTAACCTTGTAATAATGCTAAATGATTCAGTTATTATTCTTTAGACAAGAAATTACAACCCAAATTTTTGGTGAAATTACATCCCCTGTCAAAATTATCAACTGGTAGTAAAGTAATCTAGATTTATGTAATATAATGTAATATTAATAATTAAAATTCCTCTAAAAGAAGTGTTAGCTATTCTACTTAAAAAACTGTATTTTGGCTATACTGTGAGTTATTTTCATTGAATTCCAGTTAGACTAGTCACATTTTTTCATATTTAGTCTAAAAATGCATTTACAGATCCCAAAAAATGTGTGGTGGTATTTTATAGTTTGACTTCATCTCTAAATAAGTTGTATTAAAAAAAAAAAAAATTCCATATATATGGCGCAACCGTGGTGCAGCCGTTGAAGTAATGACCTTAAAACCAAGAGAAACCATAAGCAGCGTTGGTAAGCAAAGTTAATTGCTCTTCCGCTGTGTTCTGTGATAAGAGCTGAATGTTCTTGATAAATATCCTTAATAAACTAAAAAAAAAAATTACAAAGTGTAAATTTAACGTCGAAATACTAGCAGAGTAAAACGCTAACCTAGTGCATATGGTTAAACTTGAACATTTGTTTTATGCTTTCGTGAATATAGTGACTAAAATTGGGTGAAATACTTATTTTATTTAAAATAACTGACTTTGCGAAATGTTTTCATTGCAACATTATTGTGTAGTTGAGTAAACATTACAAATATATATATATATATATATATATATATATATATATATATATATATATATATATATATATATATATATATATATATATATATATATATATATATATATATATATATATATATATATATATATGTTTATAAACAAAACAAGTTTTTAATTTTTAAAGCCATTTTGTTAATAAAAAAACAATTAATGTTTCGGCTAACACTAGTCATCTTCAGTTAAAATTAAACATTTAAAATTTGTTAAAACACCTATAAAGATGTTTAAAAAAAAACTATGCAAAATATAATTATTCTTGTACAAACTAATAATAATTACAAAAATACAATAAAATCAATTAAAAAAGTTTATCATGTCATACTAAAGAACTAGGAAATAACAAAAAAATAGGTTAAAGAGATACGCAATATGAATAAAAATTAGCAGTAAAACATAAAGTGTCATTTGTACATGGTTAACCTATATCTTTTAAACCTATTACTTTTTTAACCTATATTCTTTTGTCAGCTTTTTAGTTTTACACGTTATTTCTCAGGGCCGTAGGAACGAAAATTGTAGCCTTTTTTTTAGATATTTTTTCAGTCAACTTCTTCAAAATTATTTATTTGAAAAATTATTAGGGGGGGGGGGAGGCAAATGCCCCTGCTGCCCACCCGGTTGCTTCGGGCCTCTTTGATTTATTTTCATTTTTAGTCTATCAACTACTTAGCTTTTATCGGATTTTGTTGTTGTTGTTATTTTCAATTTTTTTATATCCGATTTCAAATAATTTTAATTGAAAAAATTCTAACAAAGAAACAACTAACTGCAAGCAAGGCCATGGAGAGGATAAAAATATGCTGCTGCAATTATCTTTTTGGGTCCCTCCCCCTTCGCTTGTTATGCAAGAAAATATTTCGTTTATTGTTTATTTTGTTGACTAACTTTTTTTACTTATTGGTTACAAACATATTTCCAGTTATATATATATATATATACATATATATATATATATATATATATATATATATATATATATATATATATATATATATATATATATATATATATATATATATATATATATATGTATATATATATATATATATATATATATATATATATATATATATATATATATATATATATATATATATATATATATATATATATATATATATATATGTATATATATATATATATATATATATATATATATATATATATATATATATATATATATATATATATATATATATATATATATATATATATATATATATATATATATATATATGGATATAAGCTATATCCAATTAGATTTTACTTTTTTTTTTTTTTTTTTAATTATCTTTGCTTCCAAAAAGGCTGCAAGCAACCACTAATTAGTGTTGGAAGTTACTGGAAGAGAAAAGATGAAGATTGTAGAGCAAGATAACGATTGACAGACGACTTAAAAGATTTCAAATTGTATGAATCAGGAAAGCAAGATGAAGGAAGCAAATTCCAAAGAACTGATGTTCCAGGAAAAAAACTAGACGAATAAGAGTTTTTGGAGCACTTAGGAACAGTAACAGAAAAAGGATGAGACTTAATTGAATGACGAGTAACACGAGAATGAATTTTAGTAGATGGCACAAGAGACGCTAGCTCTTTCGAGCAGTGACCATTATAGTATTTGTAGAAAAGAGAAAGAGAAGCAACATTACGATGTGACAGAGGTTGAAGGTTGGCTGCAAGAGCAGGTCCAACTATGTTTACAATGCGTATTTGCACCTTGTCTAAAAGAGAAAGGGCATCATTAGAAGATCCGCCCCAGATATGGCAACAGTATTCCATATAAGGCCGGATTTAAGATTTATAGAGATAGAGATAGATATTTACTCCTGAACAATGGCTAAAACGTCAAATATTGCAGTTTTACTGATATAAAGAATTATCATGCATTGCATAGCAATATTTACAAACTATAAAAAATTTCCTTGCAAGGTCTTCGCGAATTGCGGACAAATATTTTTAAAATAATAATAGACGTTAGAGGAAAAATAAAGACAAAATGAAAAAAGGGAAGAAAAAAAATATTGTAAGAATTTCTTTTTTATGGTTTAATAGAACAAAATGTTAAAAACTTAGTTTATTTTCTTTTTAATTAATACATTACGATACATGTAGTAAGTGTTATAGTCATAATCATTATTGCAACAAGGAACCCCAGCAATGTAGGTAGCTGTCTCTACAAACTAGATGCAATCAATCAATCAATTATATATTCTGGAAAAAAAGATCTAACTTCCACGGTCGTTACAAATAGTTATAAAAACTAGTATAAAGTAAAAACCTCTTTGATGATATAAAACATATTATAGACACATATAGTTATTGTGATAATAAAAATATCGATAAATTATCAAAACAACAATAATAAAAATAATTAATTGTATAATAGTAAGAATAACAATAATAATATTACCAGCAAGTATAATTAACATTAAATAATAATGATTAAAATAAAAATATGATAATAATAAATACAATAGATATATAACGGAATGTTAAATAAATATTTAATAGAAGGCTGTTCATTAATTACGTCAACAAAAATTATAAAAACCAGTAACTAAAAGAATTAAATCAATACAATCTTCCATACAACAATCAATTATATATATACACTGAGGCATATTCGTTTAGACGCATCAATTTTTTTCTCTTTACCTTCATTTTTTTCTATGAATTGTCAACTGATATGCATGCATGTTATTATCAAAATAATTGTTGTGTTGTGGACTAGATCATGCCAATAACAACTGTAAGAGTCCGGACCATCTAAATTGAACTTTTTTTCATCTGAAAATATTACGTTTTGCCACTCCTGAGTCCAATGCATATGGTTTTTAGCAAGCTGTAATCTAGCAATTTTATAGTGTTTTTTTAAAATTGGTTTTTGGTGTGGTTTCTTCCACTTTACATTTGGTGTTGTACGTAGAATATGTGCAACATGTTTATTGGTGACAGGCAATAATAATTTATCCTTTATTTGTGTTGAATTCAATTTATTTTTGGTTGCTTCGAAGCGAATTCGATTAATTTGCTGATTTGTTAATACTTTGTTGCCGTTTGTTGCTTTTTTTACACCGTAATTGTCACCTTTTGCAATGTAGTTTCGTACAACATGGTCAGATCTTCCAATTTTTCTTGCTATTTCTCGTATAGAAAGTGCTGGTGAGATTTCTGAGCCACAATATAAATTATTTTTTTTTTTTCAGCATCTTTCAAATACTTTCCTTTAGGCATTTTGTAAAATGCAATAAAAATGATACTGGCAGAGCAAATGATCAAATTACACTAAAATTTACCAATTTATTTGTGTAAAAGTGATTAAAAATCAATAATTACCGTTATTAACCTGATTGCGTCTATAGATATACTCCAATTTAAAAATGTGTTTTTGCATATCAAACATACTCTCATGTTAACAAAGACACATAGAAAAAATTTTTTGTGGTTTTTATTAGCCCACAACACAACAATTATTTTGATAAAAACTTGCATGCATATCAGTTGACAATTTATAGAAAAAAATTAAGATAAAGAGAAAAAAATTGATGCGTCTAAACGAATATGCCTCAGTGTACATAGTTAGAGTTACAAACATTAATAGACTGACAAAACGTAACTAATAACGATGACATAAAAACGATTATTGATAAAAGACTACAAAGATTTAATAATTTTAGTTTTTATAATATAATAACAAAAATATATTATGTGTATAATAAACAAATAAAGAAAATATTAACAAAAAAACACTTATTATACATAAAATTAAGGTTAATAAAAGTAAAAAAATGCATTAAATGCCACTGGCGGATTAAGACTTTTTGGGGCCCTGGGCTATTTTTGTTTTTGGAGGCCTATTTATGGGCCAGAACCTAAAAATGACTTAAAAAAAAAAAAGGTTCTCTGAAATTTTTGGGGGCCTCTAAATTTGCGGGGCCCGGGGTTATAGTCCCCCGAGCCCCCCCCCCTTGATCCGGCACTGTTAAATGCATAAACGACATATAAATATAACAATAAAAATACACATCAATATAAACAATGTATTCACTAAACAAAATTTAAAAGTTTTTTCTTGTTTTTTTCTCTTAATGACATTATTGTTTCTGGTAAACTAACGTAATTCATTTCGTATTTTTTTTTTTTTTTTTTTTTTTTTTTGTCTTTACATTTTCGAACTATTTTTTCTTTTAACGAATCTTTTTTTTTCTATTTAGTACGTTATTTTGACTTGCTTTTTATCTTTATTTTTTTATATCTTTTGATCTTGTTTTTACTTCATTTTGTTTTATAATTTGATATTTTAAAAATGGTATTTTGATTTTTTTTCTCTCTATTTTATTTCTTTTCTTTTTTGCCGTTAAATAAAAACATCCTCCATTTGCGATGTCATTGCAAAGAATGAAAGATGCAGGTTAATCTAGTTTATTGTATTGTAAAAAGTAATCAACAAATTACAAAAGTAAAGTTGTAATGAATGTGAATTTTAAAGCATTATAATTCTCAGCTTTCAGTACTATTGAAGTTAGGGTAAGGCGGGGCGAGTTCGTTATGTTTTACTATAACAAAATGAGATTGGATATAAATAAGTAAACTTTTCTAGTTTAAAAGCATTTTTTTATTAATTAGGGTCTCTACTTTGTTAATGTTTTGAATCAAAATAAATTCTAAAGTTACTTTAGCGTAGAACTTGATTTTTTCATCATCTAGTTATGAGGGGCGAATTCGTCAATAACGGGGCGAATTCGTCAGTACAACTAAACTAGTTGAAAAATACGTCACTTCGGCGAAAGACGAAATTCCTTACTAGCGGTAAAGACAGCATACCAAGGAGAAAAAAACATTGATATAAAGCATTATTTTTGGAGTAATAGTAGGATAATTTCCGTAATCTAAAATAGTAAACCCAAAATTGATGTAGATAGAACTACTGATAGCCTACAGATAGCTACAGATGGAATTACCCTCAGATAACGTCAAGATAGAACTACTGAAAGTCAGTTTCCTGATTTCTAAAACATCTAAAAGGATGTCATTTTTTGTAGAAAATATCAAATAATGATTTTGGCATAATTGAAAACCGCTTAATCGCGCTAGCGAACAAAATAACACGTTAAAGCAATAACAAAAGTTATATCACAACGACTATTTAAAAACTTACAAGAAGTTTACATGTCCTTTGCACACATTTTCCATATGTATCAACTCCAAAACATCCTTCACATGCCAACTTAAACATTTAATCCAATTTCCGTTTGCTTCTCTTCAAACTACACAAACACAACAAAAGTCTTTATCAGTGCTATTTTTTAGAATAAAACAACTTGTTGAACTTGGGTGATCAGAAAAGCGACAAAAAGTATCAGTTATACCAGGAAAAAGTGTAATCAGCAATTGATGTTGCTAACATGGAAGCAGCTAACACAAACAAGAGAAAAATACCTGCTTCAAAAAAATCAAAGCTATCCGCTCTTAAACAACAAACAAATATAAATAATTTGTTGATAAACACGGAAACTTAGTATATATGACTACATGTATAAAGTATAGAGTTGAATGAATGTGCTATTATGTTTCAAGCTTGAGATTTTTTTAAGCATTTTTTTGTCTCAAAGACATATATTTAATTATTCATATATCAGTGATATGTAAAATATGATTTATTAATCAATAGTTATGAGTTTCTTAATGAATAATTATGAGATATTATCTTAGCCAAAGTCACCACCACTATAGGGGTGACCCACCTTAAAAATTAAAATAAATAGGATAAGAATATACTTTTTTTCATTTTCTTTTTTATATTTTATTTCTTTGGCATCATGCACATTTAATAAAACTTATATCAACAGGTTAATCATTCAAAATTAGATTTTGCAAGAAAAATGATTTTAAAATTGGCCAAAGTCACCTCATTTTACGGTAACTGTAAACTAATATATTTTCAAAAGCCTCTTATAGATAAAATCTGAAGCTTTGAAGTGCATTTTTAGCACAACTTGATTTTCTTTCAAACGGTGCTCCATAGTTTAAAAGTTTGCGTGATTAAAGAACCTAATTTATCTTAAGTATTATCTTTTCTTTAACGTTTAAAGTTGCCCCCCATTTGAGTATGTGATAACAATCATTACGTGATGATTCCAAAAGAAAAGACATAGCAACTTAAAATGTTATTTTAAAAATATTGACATCGATCTATCGAAAAAAATATACTTTGTGGTCAAAACATCGCGCATTTTGATTATTTTTTTGACGATAAGCATTTAAGCAGAAAAATATTCTTTCAACTTCAATGTTTACTCGCAATATTTAAAGAATAATCGAAGGAAAATGTATAAAACACTTATTTAATAATATTCTACAAATATCAGTTGAAAAAGTTTCAAAAAAAACTTAGTAGATAGATTTCTTAGTTTTTATGCATTATTATGTTAAAGCTGAGTCGCATAAGTGACGAATTCGCTCCGTGACGAATTCACTCCGCCTTACCCTACAATAAATTCTTGATTTAGTTGTTTATTGTAATTGACAATATCATAACGTATATTTACAAAATGGGAAGAAAGTTGGTGTAACAAAAAAGGAAGAAAAAAATAACTATTTAAACACTGATTGGGGGCCGTTAACACGTTAGAATTTGTTTATTGCTGACAAAACACTGTAGCTATTCTATTTAGGGTTTTAATTCTTTCCTTATTTTGACAATTTTTGTTTAACGTTTTTGACATTAATGGATATTTCTAGGCAGATAAATGGCTTCTTTTTTTATTATCAAAAGCACTAATAAAATATGTTAGCTTATGACTTTAACAAAATAGTATTTTAATATTTAATTCTATATTGTTATGACTTTAACAATATAGAATTTTAATAAGTCATTTTACTTTTTATCAAAAATAATATGAAAACCTATATCCCAGTGGGCATCGGACCTATAAAAGTTGAGCAGCCGTGGCGCAGTGGTAGCGTACTTGCTTCAGAAACAAAGGATCCCTGGTTCAAACCCCTCCTCTGGGCAAGTTTTGC